TTCCGTTTTTCCGACCATTGCTTCTTCCTCGTGCCCGCAAGGGGCTTAATTAAAATTCAGGTGCAAGCATTGCGGAGGAAAGGCGGAAAATTCGACCGGCTTTTCCTCTCCGCGATTCCGTCGCGCTTTCCCGCCTTCTCCCGAGTCCGGCGCTATAAGGCGGCGGTTGCGATGTCCGACGTGCCTCGGAATTTCATGAATTATATGTAAAGTTGTTCGTGTATAAAGTACCCACCGCAATCGCCCCCGCCCCCGGTAGTGATAGCAGAGCGCGAGATAAGTTTCAGCCGATGCCTCTCCTCCCCCACGAGGACTCTCCTCCTTGGCCTCAAGCCCTGGAAAAGCGCGGGAGCTTTTCTTCCGATTTCGGAAAAACGTGATCCCAGGACGCATCCACTTCCAAGGTAAAATCTCTGGAAAATGAAGATTTTCTTTCTCTCGGAGAGTCTTGCACGTATGCGCCAGACGATACTCCCCGAGTGACCGGAATTCCGGAACACGCGACAGCGCGAGCTGGATCCTTGATCGAACAAAGTCGAATTATCCGAAAAGCGGAGCTAAGTGTATAAAGACGAACGACTGGACCGGAACGTCAAGACGTACCGTCCAGGTGCGGTCCCGTTCCCCCAGGTCCCCGTAGGTTCCCCTATTCAGGTGAGCCACCGCCGGGCGAGAGGAGGGTCGATGGCTGGCGCGCGGCCTCGTGTAGCGCGGACGCGCTGCAGGAGTACATACCGCTCAAAGAGTGTCCCGAGCGAGCGCAAGATCCCGCGCGATGTGACAACGTCGCACGGTCGATATGCTCTTTCAGGCAAAGTGCCAAGATTGGCAAACCTGCGGGTATATAGTACAGTACGGAGCGCCCCCACCACGCGGCGACTCGCAGGATCGCGCGAGTGGTGGGGGTAGGGCGGCCCCTGGTGGGGGAACCGAAGCTGCGCAGAACGCGGCGCGGAGCGCACGGGCCGCGAGCCTCTGCGCAGGCCCCCATGTACCGGGCGCGTATGTACTACCTATGTACTTATTATTTCAATCGTGATTTACGGGGCACAGCGTTGCCAGATCGCAACGCGCGACACGCCCACTTTTTTGCAACCGAGCGCGCCGCCGTTGTGTGGGTGTGCGTGCGTGCGCGCGCACACCCGGAGACCCGTTGCCATAACTCGGCCGGGTACATAACCCACACTCGCTCGGCCGAGGCAACCGTTGATCGATACGAGAGAAACTCGGAAAAAAGAAAGCGTATCGCTCGCGCCTGGCCGATATCGCGGATTTTCCGCCGCCGCCCCCCTCGACATCGAGGGGCACGGGGGGGGGGCAAGGGGCGAGAGAAAGGTCGAGCTTTTCCGGCGTCGATTAGCCCGCAGGTATCGCAACTTCCGGCCGCGGCGGAATTCCCGCCGCGCGGAGGCGCTGCGCTCGGCTTTCTTGCGCGTTTGTTTACTCCTCGGTTTTGTCCTTTTTCAGAGGAGGCGCCCCTCTCGCGCGCCGCGGCGTTGCCGCTCCTCGGCGGCGGCGCGCGCGCGCAGCCCGCTCCGGGCCGGCCTTGGAGTCTAACGACGCGTGGGCCAGTTGTTTTGGCAACCCTGGAAGGCCACCGATACGTCTATTTATAGGACTCCGCCGTTGCCGCTGTTGCTAGGCGGACCTGACGTCGTTAGTCGGCCGCGGAGTGAGGAGAGGGGTTACCGTAGGAACAATATGGCGCCGGCCGGATGCGGGCTTTTCCAGCCGGCCTAACCTAACCTCGCGCGGTCGACCGTTATCGCGCGTTTGCGCGCGCGGCGCAACCTCCTCCGAACCCTCTGGATCGGCTCGAGGTGGCGCCCGCGCGCAGCTCTCTTTCTCGCCCTTTCCCCCGGCGCCCCCGGGTGTTCCCGGAAAGGTCCCCCGGGAACCGGCCGCGACCTCCCCTGGGCGCGCTCGGGGGACCACTTGTTTAGGTATTTTTGTGCGTCCGTGAAATTGCAAATGGCGGCGAGTTCCCGCAGCAGCTGACACGCCGCGGCGAGGCGCGGCGCGGCTCCACGGACGCGCGCCGCGCGCCGGGCCGGCGCGTTCGGCCGCGCTCGGCTCGACTCGGCCCTTTCCGCCGACTACCTCTTTGTTACATCACTCACCGATCCTATGTACTACATAGCCGCGCTATGTGCCCGCAGTACATATTTTCCCGTGCCCCGGTATATTATATACTACATATATGATCCGGCCGGCGCGCGTCCACGCTACACGAGGCGGCGCGCCGGCTGCGCGCGCATCGCCGACGCTAGGCGAGGTTAAGCGCCCCGGACCGACGTCGCGTTACCGGCCATTCGTAACACGCGCGAAATGGAAAATATCGGATTACGAGAGTGTGGGAAATATTAATATCCGCGCATCGGGAAGTGCATCTTCCCGCGGGACGAGCGCCACCCGGCTCGGCTTTATTAACCCTCTAAAACGCCATGTGCCTTTGAAGTCCAGAAATATATCAATTGTTTGTATCAACCCTTTCAGCAAATTTTTTTTCTCCGCACCCAGGAAAAATGAGAAAACACGAAATTAAGTTATTTAAAGAATACTCCCGCCTCCTCCCTCTCGCCGTAGATAACGAGGCCGACCAATTAAGGATTTCTTAATTCCGGGCCGCGACACTTGACGAGTTAATAACGAATTCCTATCCGTTGTCTTTCTCGCATTTTTTTGCGGACACCCGACGACCGATTTCTTTCGGCGGGTGAAGCTCGGTCAATTAAAACCCAACGAGTGCTGCTCAGTTCCGCGCCAAGTGCGCCAAGACTTCTAAACGAATGAAAAACCTGCCAAAAGCCCTGGTACCTTTATCCCTGAAGTACGTTAAAAAATGTTACCGCTCATTGTCGATTATAGGACCTTGTTGGTATCCGTCGAATCAAAATCCACTACAGCTTCGAAGATCGATTCGATCTCGATAATCCTTCGTCTCGGACTTCGATTCCTCGTGTTCCTTCGATTAAACCGACATTGTTCGAGAGGCGTCTAGAAAAAATCTCGCGCCAAACGCGAGCGCCCGTTCGTGGGGGAGAATTCTCCCGGAAAAACAACAAAAACGAGAGGACTTTAATAGAAAAACGAACGAATGTGGGGGCAGAGGTTAGAAAACGGTCGAAATGCGAACATCCGAACGCGGAAAACAATCGGGAACGATTTTATCGCGTCGATTTTGTCCCGTTCACTAAGTTCACGCCGAACGGACGATTTCCCGTGAATTGAGCCGAATTTAACCAAAGCGACTTCGCGCGATTGAGAACCGCTCGTAAAAAATCGACCGGTGGAAAAATCAGTTTATACCGAGTGCCAAAACATAGTACACAAGCTGTTTAATTTTTTTTTTCTTTTTAATTACACCTTGGAGCACCGACCCCGTGGTCATCAGCTTATACCAGCTGTTTCGCAGAGAGGTTAGAACGCCTCGATATCTAAACCGGACATTGTTGGTTGTGGAGCAGCTGTCCCAAAAAACCTAAAACATCTAAATTTTTCCAAGTTCCCTCTTTTTAGAGTCATCAGTTCCTCCGGGTAGCCATTAAACCTCTCCCGGCAATTGTCTCGCCGGCAAAAATGCTTAGTCCTGGTCCAACAATCAGGTTCCCCATAATTATCAAGTACCAGCTAACAATCGGGTTTCTCTGCATTACAGTCCTCAAACCGTCGTGAAACCCTAAAGAAACCACCCAGACCCACCCGAAACGCAAATCACCGTTCCTGCCCATTTCCCATTTTTAAACAACCTCCCAAGCCGAACGGTCAAACCCGTCTTCTCGTCCACGTGCGACTACAGGTGGTCGCGGAGCCGGCGAGCAAAGGCAGCGCCCGTGGCTAATCGGCGGGAAAATAAGTAAAAAAGTGTTCGTCCAGGAGCACGTGTCGAGTGGTTTACGCGGGGGGCATCGAAATTCGGCGGGAGAAAAGCCGAGAAAATGGAGGATCCCGAAGGACCGGCGTGCACGTGTTTTCGGCCGTCGCGGAGATCACGTGTGCAGCTCGCGGGCGGCTCGCGGGCGGCTCGCGGCGAGGAGAATCGCGGTTGCGCGCGACCGTCGATCGGCGGCGCGCGTGCCGCTAATTGCGGCGGCGTCCGCGAGGGGTCGTTAGAATTCGGGCGGAAGCGGGGCGGTGTAGGAAGAAGGGGGGGTTGCCGCGCGGGGAGGGGGGCGCGCGGTGCGCGGCACGGTGCGCGCTGGGCGCGCTCGCCGCCACCCATAACCTCAAAAGTCGCTCGTTCGCGCAATGTTTCCGTCTCGGTCGCTCTCACCTCTGGCAACGTGGGCTTCCACGATCTGCACGTCGTCGTCGGCGGTCCTCTCTCCCATGTCGCCTACCCTGGTAGTGCGCGGTTCCAGTGTCCCACCACGGCGTCGTAGCCCAGTCCTCGTCCTCGCGGCTCCTTGACATTTACATGGGGGGGAATTAACGCGAGACGCGAGCCGCGCAGCTTGCTTTCTCTCTCTCCCCTGCCCGTCGCCACGCCGATGTACGCCAGAAAGCGGAAGACGCGCCAGCGGGACGCGCGTTCTGGCGCGCGCTCTCTCGGGGTCTCTCTCGCCCGTTTGTAAAAGCGGCGAGCGAGGGCCGACGGGATCTGCCAGATTTGAATGTGCGACGTTGCCGCGTCCTTACGCTCCTACCCCCTCGCCGGCCCCCCTCCACGCCGGCCGCCGCGCTCGCCCTTATGTACTTAACGGTTGCGACGTTGCCGCACTTCCGGTACCGCGAAACGAGACCCCGGGTGGGGGGCGCGCGTCGGTGGTGGGGGCACCCTGGACGAGGGACGCCGAGGGAAAGGGGAGTCCGCGCTTTGGGGATTTTCCATGACGCGAGCGGCAACGCCGCCAGCGCGCCGCGGACCGGAAGTCCCGCAAGATGGCGCCGGAAGTGGACCCCGGGACGCGACGCCGCGAGCCCGGAACCCCTCGACGAGGAGGCAGATCACGGATTTGGGACCTTTCGTTTGTGACGCGATAAAATGGCCGGTAGCGTAGAAAAGGATTTATTTTCCATCGCGTATCAGTCGGTGGGCGGTCAGGTGCTTAAATAATAATTTACCCGTAATGCATTGTAAAGAAACGCTCTTTCAGAGGCAGGAACCCCGAGACTCGAGGCAAGCACTGGGACGCCATCTTGACTATTTTTTAACGCAACTATATCATTGTCGTTATTGTAAACTGCACTGATCGTGCGAGTCGGAGGGGCGCTGGACCGTCTCCTCGATTTCCCGCGTTGCGAGCAGCCCTTTGCAGCTTTCCGCCTCCTTCATCCACTGCTGCACCTGTTGATCGAGTATCCATGACAACGGGCGCCCGTTACGAGGAGGGTTTTAGGATATTTCCGGGTAATATTCATTTTTAATATCTCGATAACGCGGAGGTTAATTATGTGAAGAATAATGCATGCATCAGATATTTTTTGCAAGAGTAGATCCGAGTGGAGAAACGTCCCCGAAAAATGGCCGCCCGGCGAGCAGATCGACGGATACCCCGATTCAAGATGGATCCACGTCGCTGGAGGGCACGATAATAGTTGTTAAGCGTTAAGGTCAATAAAAAATGTTGGTTCAACAGTTTCTGGAGTTAAAATTATCCTTCCAAGAATGTTTAACTTCGCCGACTGCGAGCTGCAACCGTGGCAGCAGCCTTCTAGTCGGTTCGAGACTCGCTTTCAAATATGGCTACCTTGAACTAGAACGGCTGCCAATCTGCCCCGAGTAGACACTTGGGCACGGTCAAGAAAGTTCTCCGCGTGAAAATTGCACGCCCCGATAGAGGTCGATTTGACCGTTCGGAAAGAAAAATCTCTTTCGATCGAAAATCATATCTCAACACCTGATATTAACTCAACTCAACTCACTGGTCCTGTCGGAGCCGTACTCTGGCTAATTCCGGTAAAAGGACTCGAAGGAACGTACCTGTCCGTAGAGCAGATCTCTCCGTCGTCCAGGAGGCTCCTTTCCCAGGAGAGGCACCAAAATCCCGAGGCAGGACTTGAATTTCTCCAGGGCGAGGGTGTAGTTACCTTCGGCGAGATATTCCTCGGCGACTTCTCCAATTTCCAGGCCATCCACCATCGCCGGGGTACTCTTACCGAGAGTACCTGAGGAGTATCGGATCGCGTTAAAAGGAGAAGTTAACGAGCTCTATGCTTACTGGAAAGATACCAACGTAGGTCGTTGTATCCCAAGGATGCCCCGCACTCCAGAGACTCGGTGCGCCGAGGAAGAGGGCCGTTCCCGGAGTTCCTCGACGTCGAACTTTCCCCCGACTTTTCCACCTCGTCGTCGTCGAGGCAGGCTCGCTTCAGCTGCTCCGCTCTCCTGATGTAGTCGTTCACGTGCAATCTCAGCGCCTCCTTTCTTTGAGGATCAGCCTCACCTGGCAAAAGATCTCCCACTACGTAAGACCGAACAAGCTACGAAGGCATTAACCCTTTAGTTATCAACTACTGTACCTAGAGGGTTAATGCAACAAAGAGACGGTAGAAGAAATTCATTTCCTACTGGTGAGCAAAGGAATGAAGTATCTCAGGGCGTCGCAGTAGAGGTGGAAGGCCTCCTTCCGGTTGCCCACCGCGTCCATCTTGACGGCGGACTGCACCAGAGTCGCAGCCTTCTCGTAGTTCTCCTTCGTGGGTGCGTGCGCCAGATCGAGGAACTCGTGCTCGAAGAAGCCCTCGAAGGATATCCTCCTGGTGGGGTCGTGCTTCAGCAAGGACAGCAGGAGATCCTTGCACTCGGGGGAGACCCGGGCGCCCTTTGGGAGCTGCATTAAACGAGACCGCTCTTCAAGGAGAGACTTTTTCGAAGGGACTCTTCATCGCCGAAGGACGTTCGATACCGCGCGAAAACGTCTGACGATCCTTGCCTATGCTTTTCGTTATTTCCGAAAATGGTCCCGAACTTGACGACAAATCTTCGCGATTTGTGATCCGTCGTGTTTAAACATGACTGTTAAATTTTACTTCTTAAAATAATGCAACGTTCGCGGATGGGTTTACATGGAAGATTTATCGTTTCGTGCGTAGCCATTTTACTTGAAGCTTTTACCAATCACCTGGATCGGCCTCTGGGACTTGATCTTGTCGGCCAGCTCCTGAAAGCTGCTACTGGAATAAGGAGCCCTGCCGAAGAGACACTCGTACATGATGATACCGACGCTCCAGAGATCCACCCTGGCGTCGTACTTCTGACGAAGAAGGATTTCCGGCGCCATGTACAAAGGGGAGCCCCGGATCGCGAATTTCTGCTCAGAGGAGGATAGGTACTGGGCGAAGCCGAAGTCTGAAATCAGGGAAGTGGACGATCCATGGATTCAAGGAATTAAAATCGCAATCGGAGGTCGCACGCACCTCCGACCTTCAGGGTGAGATGGGGTCTCTTGGCCAGGAGAAGGTTTTGCGGTTTCAGGTCCATGTGACAGACATTGTGACCGCGTAAGTACTTGAGGGCGAGGGCAAGCTGCTGCAGGAACTTCCGACATACGTTCTCCGGCAGTTTGTTCTTCCTCCTGATGAAACTCGAGAGGTCGCCGGCGTCGCAGTACTCCATCACGATGTAGATGTGCCTGAACGGGGAAGGTAAGTCTGAGTGGCGTTTTACGGGGGAATAACTCGGGTTTTAAGATCCCATGAAAGGGCAGGGGAGATCGCAGGAATATCGGGGACCCACCCCTCGTCCCAAAAGAAGTCCTTCATCTCGACGATGTGCTCGTGCTTCAGGATCTTCAAAAGATTGATCTCCGTTATGAGGTTCTCGATCGCCGACTTCGAGAGGCCCGACTTGTCCACGCACTTGATGGCGACCACTTCTTTGGATCCACCCTGAAAGCCAAACTCGTCATTTGCAAATGGATAGTTTTCCCCTCAATCCCAATTAGTGGTTCCTAAGACACGTCGACAACCGAGTGGGGTCTTGTTATTTCTTTTTTGCCATTTTTTTTCCCTTCGTCGAATCCTTTCAATGAGCGCAAGTGTGGACAATTTCTCGGAGCTACTCACTTTTTTGAAGGCCTTGTAAACGGTAGCGTAACTCCCCACGCCGATTTTTTCGAGCAGGGAGTAGTCCTTCACACTCGGTAGACTCATTTCTCTGCTCCTCGTCGAACCGACTCGTTTTCACTGGTTTTCACCTGGACATTACTCCTGAAAGTCGCGAAAGCGAAGCGGCTTTGAAGAGTATCTGGACGAGATCGCTCGCCACGTGGTCGCCCTAATATAGGTTAGGATCGTTTCCGCAAATATCGACATCAATCTCTGTAAGTAATAAACACCCTTGATGCATACCCTTAACATACGTCCGGATAAAATTTCGCTATAATCACGGTTAGTGCACCCGACCGGGGGACTCGCGCGGTTCCCTAGACTAACTTCGTGAATTTTAATTCGTAATTTCAATTTTTTTTCTTCAAATCCCCTGCTATTACAAATTGCAGTGAATTCATCTTGAAGTAGCCTTCGGTATAATCTGCTCTGGAAACGCGAGAGAGAGAGAGAGTGAAAGGGGCCCAGGGACCCGATTCTCGAGTGCATGCGATTAATATTCGTACGCGACGTAATTTCTCGCATTAAAATCCATAATTTCCTGAATAAAGTCCCCTCGTCTCCCGCGATATGCGCGGCCCTGCCGAGCGAACGCCGGTGCAGCAGGTCGTCGGCCGACTTCACTTAGTTGAATTCGCGTCAGCGGGGCGGCGCTTGGCGACGACCCGTCTATTTCTCCTTCCCTCTCTCTCCTTCGCTTTCCCGCGAAAGCGTCGTTGCATTCGGTTCCTCAAAGGGAGGCCCGTCGTCCGCGAAAATCCGCCGTGAGAGGAGTCGCCGCGGACGTCGTGCTCCAATCCGAGCGCGCTTCATCCGAAGGAGTTCGCGTCACGCCGGCCGCTTAACATGGACGTGACAGCAGCACCCGAGCTGTGAGCTCGCCGGCTCCCTCGCGGCAAATGGTGCCCCCTGCAGCCGACCCCGAGAGGGCTGCCGTCCCACGGCCATGTCCGGTAACTACGCGACCCGTCCTAATCTCAAAAATTCATCCGCGCGCGGGCGGCCATTTTTTCGAAAGCGCGCTCGCCACCGAGTGCACAATTTCCAACAAAACATTCCACTCATATGTATGAATTAAAATACCGAAATGCTAGCGAGTGGAAAGAAACCACTCGGAAAAAATTGCAAACTTCTAAATATAGAAATCCTATAATATCATTCGGTAAATCCATCTTAGATAGATTCGTATATCTCGCCCTGGATAAAAAGGATAATCGAAACTCCCTCTCGAAATTCCTTAAAAAATTCGGAGGATTTAATTTTCCACTGAGTTTTGGTAGTGCGTGTCGACCTCGAAGACCCCCGAATTGTGAAATGGAATTCCACCGTGAGGTCGCCGAGAGGGGAGACACGTTGTACAGTTTTAACGTAAAAGTGGCGTAGCGTGATGTATACAACGCAAGGGTACGTTTGGCGCGAAACTTTCCCAGGTTTCCCGATAAACGGTGCAAAATGACTAAATATGACACGGGGGTATCCGTAACGCAAACCGGGGGCTCGGTCGCAAAGTTATCCGGGATTCGCGATTCGCGATTCCTGTGCGCGCCGCGAGAGGGTGACACCGGCGGCGGGCTCGGCTGCTTCCGAGTCCGTCCGCGGCGGCGCCATGGCCTACGGACCGTGGGCGCCCAGTGTCTCTCGGAAATGTATTTATTTGTAAAATAAACTCGAGTCGAAGTGACCCGAGGTTGCCTTATTGCACAAACCCGACAAAGAGAGGTCGTTCCGCGGTTTGGTGGGGGTCGCGTTCGCCTTCGGTATCCGGAAACCTCCTTCCACGTACCTGTCACATAGCGCGAGAACAGGCGCACGCCCGAGTCCGCTCGCCTCTCCCGATAATCGCCCAGTCGCGTTGCTCGCGCTCGCCGCGCGAGGGAGACTCGCGCCAGTCGACTCGTCTGTTTCCTCGACACCGCCAACGTGCTCCGAGGAAGAGTGTCGCGCCGAGTTGTGAACTCTCTCGAGTCTTGACCGCCCTTCCACAGGCGCGCCCCGCGATTGGTCCAGGCGACTCGACGGCGCGCCCTGATTGGTCCGTTCCGTTGAGCCGCCCGACTCGGCCGTCGAAGCAGCCCTTCGATGCTTTCCCACGTTTCGAGGGGGCTAGCCGTGTCAAAGGTAAGCCCGATTCTCCCTCGCCGTGCGACCCTCCCCTCCGACTGCCGTCCGACACCGATGTTCGCCCCTCCGCGATTTTTTTTCGACAAAGTCCGCGATGATTTGTGAAGATACTCGCCCGCTTTATCGCTATCGTTCGAGGAATCGCGGATCTCTCGGCTGACGGACCTTCCTTGGACGACCCTCGCCCGGAGCAAGTATATTTATTTTCGGCAATTTCACCGTAACGTTTAATTCCGAATTTCCGAGAACTTCGAATGGTTTTTTGGAAGAACCGATGATGGTTTTTTTTATCTGGTACTCGGACTAATATTTTCAAGGGATGAGGGAGAATCTGCCAATATTTGTTTATGCTTGGGTGTAGAATATTTCTCGTCCAGAGGTGCTTGAATTTTTACGAGAGAATTCGACGATCTCGGCGAAAGTGGCGTCTCGATAGGTTAGGTTCGACACAGATCTCACGGGGATTGACGTTGTCACGCGAATACGCGAAATCGGGACAATTGGGCACTCGAGCAGACCTCTTTCTGAAAAGATCCGCTTGACTGAGTATTTACGACGTCGTATTAGACCTTTTGTCTAATGTTACGGGGGAGACCTCGCTCAGCAGCTGATCGCGGTCGTAAACTGGAGTTTGCGCATCACGCGTATCGTGTTTGAAGCGATAATTGTTAAGTTGGCGAATTGGTGACCATAATTTCCTTTACCGAGTGTCGGCTGCACTGTTTCGTTGTTAATCGGTTTAAACGAGATAAACGTTGCCCCGGGGTATTTGCATCGCGCGAAAGTAGATCGATTTATCTTATTCGTTGCAGTATTTAGTTGGAATAATACCGGATGGAATTACCGATGTAAAGTCAAATGACTCAGCGGGTGACACATCTTTTGTCCACGAAGGAGAACCAGTTAGAAATTGAATGGAGAGCGTATATTTTGGTATACGAGATCGACCTTAGTAGCCGCATTGAGTGAACAAAAAAAAAAAATTGCACCCAGTTCCCTTGTGCAAAAAAAAATTATGCGATGCATCTCCACGCGATGACAATGAACTACGGTTAACGATCAACGTCGGATCACCGAACCCAAGAGACAGCCCGAAATCAAATTCAACTTTCTATGCCGGAAGCGCAAAATGTCGAAGCACCTTACCATCATTACCGATTGCATCGAAACTATCGCCTTGAGTAAGAGTTTCTCGGACGAGGTTAAGTTCATCGAGTGGTTTCAGGTGTAAGCGCCATTTAATCGAGGATTTCCTCGAGTGACATGCGGTACTCCCACCCCGCTCGCCGGGAGACCGAGTTCTCTTTCTCTCTCTTTATCTCCACGAGTGCGACAAGGACGCTCTTATACGACAAAGTACTTGGTCACTTCCCCTTACCTCCGCCTCGTTTCGCGCCGTCGTCTCATTGGATGGTCATCGTTTACCCTGTGTTTCCGTTGGAGCGGTCGAGAGAAAGGGGCAACAAGAAACGGCTTCTCGCGGGGCCTCGCTGTGATTGGTCGAGTGCGTCCATTGACGCGCTCCCATTGGTTCGCGCCTTTCGGCGGCCATCTTGGATCCGCCGTGATCGCAGCGCTCAGTGCTCTGACGGACGGAGAAGTTTCGGTGTTTTGAACGGCAGCTGACTTTTATATGTTTTCGCGAGTATTGCGGGATTTGCGGGGGCGCAGCATCGACTCGGCGCAGTCCGCGAGGACGGACGTCCCGAAGAATCGCGGCCGACATTCGATTCATGAAAAATCGCGAGGCCAGGAGGCTTTCCCGTGATTCTCAGCGAGCTCTTCGCGAGGCAGGCGTCCGTGACGTCATGTGCTGAACGTCCTCCGTGTGGGCCCGTGTTCTCTCGGTGGTGTGGCGGTCCGTGACACGGATCACAGGTGCAATCGCGAATCCTGAGGTTCTTTCTTCTAAGACGGCCCTCGTGGGCCTTGGCGTCGATTTGCGATCGACCGAGAACTTAGCGAGGTTCCCGCGGCAAGGGCGAGTCTGTTATTGGCTCGCGCTTTATTCACGGGAAAGGTCGACGAACAAGCTTGTTCTCGACTGTGGTTTATTTTTATTCTTATCTGCGCCCATATAATTCGCTCCCTCGAGCATAGGTACTTGATCCTTCGTTGAGCGTTCAATGAATTTACCGTTTCTCACGTTCGTTTAGATTTTTTGGAACGGTCGAGCTTTGCTTGTTTTGGGGGCGCTTTTGTTGACTTTCCAGTTATCTGGCAGACAAATTCCAAAATTGTGAATCGGGTCTAATCGGTGAGATAAAATTTGGTCAAAGGTGAAAAGCCTGGTACAAGGTTTCCTTGTCGGTGTAAGGGTAGAGCTGTCGTGCAATAGTCCGCTGTGATCTAGTTTGGGGGCAATAGATTTTTCACGTTTTTTTTTGTAATTTGTAGTACCGTTGAGAAGGAATCGGGAGGACTGAAAGAGTGGGGACGTCGAAGGGAGAAGGAACCGTCGTGTTTGAAATAACTAAGGAATTGGTAGAGCTATGGATTCTGAAGAGGAAACGCTGTACGACGATGTCGACTCGGGCAACGAGTCCAGTGGAGACGACGTGGACTTTGCTATGGAAATAGAATCTGGAAATCCGAGAGAACGAGCCACCGACGTCGAAGATTATCCCTTTGAAGTCCTTTCCACAGAGGAAATTGTTCAGCACATGGTAGACTCTATAAAGGAGGTCAACATGGTGGTAGAAGTATGTTTGTATTTTGACCATTTTTATTAGGCTTAGTTAGTATCTTCTAGTTCGTGCAAACTTTTTTTAATGCCATATTATGTTAAAATATGCTAATTCCTCGTTGAATTATGGAATCAAAGTTATGAATTTAGGCATGGATAAATGACGTGTTTACACACAGCTCTGATCTATATATATCGTGATCTTTAAATAGCATGCACACGAGATTTCTCTTTTTTTGCCAAAAATATCTCAGTTGGGGGAGGACGGAAGCATGTCTGCTTTTTCTTTGTTGCCATATTTATTTGTCACCATCATGACAAAGATAGAGCGGTTTTAAGCACGTGATTTTTGCAGATATCTCGCGATTATACTTGCATCCAGCCTTTATTTATCAGGGATTATTCATGTGGTACAAAATAATGATGACTCATTTTTGGTATTTAATTCCCAGATACCTGCCACAACAACCAGAATTTTATTGAATCATTTCAAATGGGACAAGGAAAAATTAATGGAACGCTTCTACGATGGGGATCAAGAAAAATTATTTGCCGAAGCGCGGGTGATTAACCCCTTCAGGAAGGGACCTTTAATTAATAGATCTCGTTCACCACAAAATTCACTGGTGGGTAAAACTAATTACGATCGACGTGGTATTTTTTTTTTACCTATTTTTACTTAAATTAATTTTTTAAATCACAGTCCAGAAGAGCGTCCACAAATGGAAGGGAAGAGTGCGGCATTTGCTTCATGACTTTACCATCTTCCGTAAGTTATTATGTATTTTACTTTGCTAGTTTAAGTAATATTTCAGTGCAAAGGACAATATTTTATTTATGGATGTGCTCAGGTGATGACCGGCTTGGAATGTGGACATCGGTTCTGTATCGGTTGCTGGAGGGAATACCTGACCACCAAGATCATGGAAGAAGGTGTCGGACAGACTATCGCATGTGCAGCACATGCTTGCGATATTTTGGTAGATGACGCTAGCGTTATGCGTCTCGTTAGAGATTCTAAGGTCAAGTTAAAGTATCAGCATCTCATTACCAACAGCTTCGTCGAAGTACGTTAATCGAAGTAACCCTTTCCTAACGTGTACGTTTATGACGAGAGCAGTCCTATCGAATACTTACGTTTTCCCGATTTTCAGTGTAACAGGTTGTTAAGGTGGTGCCCATCACCCGACTGCAACAATGCGATTAAAGTGCAGTACGTGGAGCCAAGACCGGTGACGTGCAAGTGCGGGCATACGTTTTGCTTTCACTGTGGCGAGAATTGGCACGATCCTGTCAAGTGTCATCTGTTACGCACGTGGATCAAAAAGTGCGACGACGACTCGGAGACGTCCAATTGGATCGCAGCGAACACAAAGGAGTGTCCCAAATGCAACGTCACAATAGAAAAGGACGGTGGATGTAACCACATGGTGTGTAAAAACCAAAACTGCAAGGCTGACTTTTGTTGGGTGTGTCTCGGTCCCTGGGAGCCCCACGGCTCCAGCTGGTACAACTGCAATCGGTACGACGAAGAAGAGGCGAAGGCTGCCAGGGACGCCCAAGAGAAGTCGAGGTCCGCTCTGCAGCGATACTTGTTCTACTGCAACAGATACATGAATCACATGCAATCGTTGAAATTCGAAAGCAAGTTGTACGCGAGTGTCAAGGAGAAGATGGAAGAGATGCAACAGCACAATATGTCCTGGATCGAGGTACGCAGGTATTTTACCTCGAGTGCAAGTATGAATTAATTGAGTACGTTAGGGTCAAAGTGTAATCTGGATTGCAGGTTCAATTTCTGAAGAAGGCCGTCGACATACTGTGCTCGTGCAGGCAAACGCTCATGTACACATACGTCTTTGCCTACTACCTGCGAAAGAACAACCAGTCCGTGATCTTCGAAGAGAACCAGAAGGACCTGGAGACGTCGACCGAGTGTCTGTCAGAATATCTTGAGAGGGACATCACTAGCGAAAATCTTGCCGACATCAAGCAAAAGGTCCAGGACAAGTACAGGTGTGTCCATCGATCCATCGATTAACTCGAAGGGGCTCCCGCGAAGGCAGCGATTGCCAATGATTCTCGTTTTTTTATTTTCAAGATACTGCGACAGTCGGAGGAAGGTGCTTCTAGAACACGTGCACGAGGGTTACGAAAAGGAATGGTGGGATTACAAGGAATGAATCAAGGGCTCGTTGGAACACTGTCAACCGACGTGAGTCCTCTTCCTTCTCACCCTTGCCCCCCCCCCCCCAGCTGTGATATACCAGAAAAGCTGACAAGAGACAGAAATAGAGCAGGTCGCCGAGTGTCGGACACACACCCTCGCACCTGACGCCCTTTTTATTTTACTCCATCGCGCATCTTTAACATGATATAGTCTGTGGTAAAATGCATCAAATAATCGATACGGCTAACACCTCTCATTAAAAAAAGATTGAATCCTTACGTCAACTGAAGATTCAATGGGAAGAGTACTTTTGTGCTTGGCGAGAATTACATGCCGACGACCGCGTACCGGAAGATCGGTGCGTCTTTCGACGTAAATCCGGTACACGCGTAACGTCCGGGCGTGGTAACGCGACCTCGAACAACTCGGGACGATCGTCGTCGTTTTAGTTCGTTTCGTCGGGGGATCACGGTTCATCAGGAGAGTATCGTTTGACTGACAAATTCGACAGATCTGCTTTTCGTACTTAACGCGTTGCCAGCGGTAGAGAACCGGTGAGTGGTCACAGTCCTTGTCCCCTCTTTATGACTTCGAGCCGCGCGTTTTCGATTTATGCGGTCATATCTCTTGTTACCTTTTTTTTTTTGTCTCTGGCCGGCGTTGACACGTAGATTTTTCCGGATCGCTAACGGGTGCTCTCCGGTCGGAGGACGGCGTGGATGGAAAGGGAAATACCGGAAGGGAAGCCTTCCTAGAGATTTTCCCTGCCGGCTTGCTCGAGGGCCAACCACTGGTATCACTGGGCGACCGGCTTGTCCCCAAATCTCTGCTCTATTTCGGACATTGATACGTCCAGGCTGCTACTGCCAATCTGTAAGAAAATAAAAAAAGAAACGAAAGGAAAGGTTTAGTTAAAATTGCAACGTGCACATGTCGTCAGTGTTACGTCGATATTAATAATAAAATAGACGCACCGGAGATATTCGGCCCACTCGAATGTCGCGTCGCGCGGGGAACGCGGTGATTTTTTTTTTAAATTAATTACGTTAACTACCTCACTACTGTCGACGACTCTTTTTTTTTTCTTTTCTTAGTTAACTTCGAGGTATCCCTGGGAGGATGACGGAACGGCTGCGGATATTTTAACGTCGAGTGTTGGCAATTGTATATAAGTCGAGACGGACACAGGCTAGAAAATCGACCTTTAATCCTCGACCGTTTAACATTTTATTAACTCCGACCGCAATTCACGCCCGCGTACTTTTTTTTTTCTTCTTTCCAATCGTTCTTTGCTTTCGTTGTTCAACGTAACGTTGACGATATGTCCGCCTGTACCGTTAGTGTACGAAGTCAAGGCTATTGACACTGTGGTGTAACAATCGGTTATTACTGTCGCAACGTACGTTGGGAACGAGATAAGTTCCGTTTGTACAGTTATATAGTTAAATATATATATATATATATACATGTATACATACATATATATAAATATGCAAATATATGTAGTAATAATGTCGATAAATAGCGAGGATGAAATTGAGGTAGGACCTTTTGAGAATTTATTGAAATATAAAATTGTTGATTCTTAATCCGATGTGGTCACGTAGCGGGGAAGAGCCGCCGTGACCGGAGCTCACTTGTTTTCTGTACAGTCTCGAAATTTCGATTAGTAGTAAGGTAATTAATTCATTACTTATAATTGCGAAATTCTAGATCGTGAGGGCGACCGCTCTTGTAACGAGCGGACTCCACGGTGCGGACCCTAGACGCGAAATGTTACGTGTAAGTTCGTTTCTCCTTCGTAACGGACCCGCGTTTAATGTGATTTTTAAATAAACGTCGTAACCTTTAGCCTTCGGAGCAAGATCGATAACAGCCTTTTACTCGAACGGGCTAAAACTTTGTCGAATATCAAAGAAACGAGGAACAAAAAAAATATATATATACGTATACACGCTACTTTTGTCGAGTCAGTTGATTGTTATTTGGTCTTCGTTCTATCCTTGAGCGAGTGTGAGATCCTTTTGTAATAGAATTGTAAATATTTAAATACGTCACCACAAGAGAGAGAGAGAGGTATAAATCGGTAAGTGTACATTAGGTGCCGCTTTGGTGAAACTGAGGAAATGGTTACGAAATCGATATAGCGATCATGACAAGATATATTAATCGGTGTGTGATATCTCTCATGAATGTAAATAGTGACTGGACATGGTTCTTGACATTCACAAAGATCCGGTGTAATAAAATTACTTATTTGTGCACCCTGTGTGTGAAGAGAAGTAATTACATGACCAATCTTTTTCTTCTTTTTTTTTTCTTTGTCGTCACCGAACGAAACATGTAAATAGCTTAAGTTGGCCATTCGTTGAGAAGGAATTTCTAGCTGGCTCGATGTGTAATTATACTGCCATTCCTAAGACGAGAACGTCTATAAATCCGTGCATATGTCCTAATAGTGTTTATTATCGCCAGAAATTCATACACTTTTACAAAGGTACTAAAAGCTACCGAAGTATGGATTTTACCGTGGTATAAAGTTATTGCGGTAAATTTAGTAACCGGTATATTTCAATTACATGCAGTTACTATGTTTGCAAGAGAATGATGCGACCGTTCTTGGTCAAGCGTATCGTTTATAAAATTTGTTATTTAATATATTTTCTACCTAGAATAAATTATAAATAAATACAAATAGTTTGCTTCTACCTAAATTCAGGATAATTTTGACATTCTCATTCGACGCGGATATCTGAAACTTCAATTTTGCGTGATACCGTTACAAAAACAAAAAAAAAAGAGAGAGTGAGAAAGGAAGAATTACTTCAATAAAACACCTAGATTAAAAGTTAAATAAAATAGTCTTTCTACTAATTCAACTAGTTTGTCGAAAGAAAGTTACGATATTACAGTAATAGGGAACTTGCATTGTTTTCTTGCTCTAGAAAAGGTGAGGAGGATCGTTCGGAGAGTCGTACGAGAGGCTTTTTACACAGATATTCTAGATGTTTAAGAATTCTTGTACTTTGCGACATTCACTAAGCATTTCCCGTTCCGAACGTTTCTTCGATCAAAGTGTTACCAGTCGACGCGATTACTTCGAATGTATAACACCAGCCCGTAATACTTTAACAACGTGCCGTCAGGATCCGCGAGGTAACGAGCCATATCTCCTGGAACGCTTTCGAGGATTCGATCACAGGGCGTAAGTACACATCGAGTCACTCGCTTTTTAAATCCGTTCACCGGGATTTCACTTTAAACCGCTTCATGAGGTTACCGTCAAAAACGTGGCCACCAGCCCAAGGGTTGCCGCAGTCATTACGAGGCTGTGCCAGACCATTCCGTTAACTTCTTCCGCCACAGGATATTCCACGCACAGTTGTTCCTGTTGGCACACAAAAATATCGGTTACTCTAAATCAAGATATATTACCGTAAAGCCTCGATGGAAGATGAACCGCTCACCCATCCGCCATATCCTTTGATGAAGTGCGAAATCTCATCGCCGATGTATCTGGAGACGTACAGTGGCAACTTCATCTTCAGAGCGTGCATGTGTCTGTCTCTTGCCCACAGCGCGAGCCTCCCCATAAATGCGTACAAACAAATAATTCTCGCCCAAGTAACCCCTCCGTGAAGAAACAGTTCGTCGGCAACTCCCATGAAGGCCTCGTACGCAGTATCCGGCATGACGTTAAGCTGGTTGACCATGCTGGTGAAGAGAATACTGTGCTTGTTGAGCATCTGATAGACGTGATGCCTCATACTCCTGGAGACCGGGTCCCTCGATATCAGATAGATGTCTTCTTTGAGCAGAAACCTTATCACGTCGTTGGCAAGGCATACCGCCGTCAATTCGGTGGAGTCTTCGCAGGGACTATACCTTGGTTGCGAGGTCAATCGTGGGAAGAGATGTTGCAGTCGTTTCTGGAACGAGGAACAACCCCGGGATTAAACTTCCGACGTATCCAAATAACCCAGGGAAGCTCGAAACGACCCACGACGCAAGAAAAAAATCAGCCGGAAGGTAGCGACCCGACACGACAGCTGTTCGACGGTTACGTCCAGGCGAAGAGGCGATCCCGAACGGCGACCCGGGTCGAAGATCACGAACGCGGAACGACCGAGGGACAAAATGAAGGGAAAAAAAAAATGTCCAAAGGACGTTACGTCAACGCGAAGACCCGCGGCCTCGCGGCCCGAGAGCTGTCAAAGGGTCTCGCCGGGGGCTGATTACCTGGCAGATCTCGACGAAAGACATACCGCCGTTGGTAACAGCCGCACCATAGCGGCAGAGACCGTTGGCTCGCTCGGTGGTTAACTCGGCGGGCGCCTCGCTCGACGAATTCCTGTTACCGGGGGGATCGCATTCCAGAATACCGCCCACTCTGGAATGCGGTTCCCCCCTGGCCGACGCACCCTGGTCGCTCCCCTCCCCGCTGGGCGCGGGGTCCTCGGTCTTCTGGTCGCCGGCCATCCTCGGCGCCGCGTCGCCGAGAACTCCCTCGAGGACTCGGTCCTCCTGCCTGCCCTTCCACAGCATCCCCTGCCGCTCGGCGAGCAGGCTTTTCGCCCCGGATCCCACCGCCGGCAAGAAAAATCCACCCGCCCCGATCGGCCCGATAAACCGCTCTCTACTTTCCCGCGGCCATTTCCGAAGCGGCGCCCCCCACTCCGGCTCCTTTCCCACCGTCCGCCATGACGGTTCCCCCCACCAAGCCGACTCTCTATGGACCATTCACGACTCCTCCCCTCCGAGGCCCGCTCCTTACTACGGGATCTCCGATTAATGCGTCGCTCCGGGAACGGACGCCGAGCTTTCGGGCGACCCGGAAATTCGATCGTTTCGTGAGCCGCAAAGGGAACCGGGCACGTAATGAATCCTGGTTTAACCACGGTTTACGATCCCTAACCCTGGTTTAACCGAAACTTGGTTGGTAAACTGCAGGTTGAAGTCCGGACGAGGGAAGACGATGGGCTTCTTATGGAAGAATTAAGTCAGCTTTCGTTCCTCGGAGCGGTAGGGCAATTTCGATCGATTAAGCGACGCTGCCTGTCCATTTCACCGTTTTAATTAGGAGCAGCTCGAAGATTACGCTATTACGTGCCGCGGAGCGACGGAGCATCCCGCCTCGTTGAATCGAATTCGCGGGAAGAAGGGGAACTCGAAGGTAAACGGATAAGCTGGAGAATTCGGATAGGAGAAGAGATAAGTTAGGGTTAAGTAGGAAGAATAAACCGCGCTTCTCCTCTTCCACCTTCCCTCGCGAAACCTTCTAATTTTAGATCCCCTTTATCCAGACGCGGATCGTCTCGCGGCAGCTTTAGCGCGTTCGATAAAGCACGGCCTGTAATTCTATCGCGCTTTAAGTACATATCGCTTTAAACGTACCTTGGATATTTCACCGGACGGCGTCGAGGAATTCGCGACGCTCGGATCCCGTCCCGCGGTAGTTCCGTCTCTTTCCCTCTTTACCGAAGTCCCAACTTTCCCTCTCTCTCTCCGAGGGTGCACGCGACGCATTCCTCGCGGAACCACCTCTGCGCATCCGCGAGGCGCAGCCGCGCCGCGCGGCGGCGGTCGCCCGCGGCGCGCCGACGTTCATTCAATGGTCGACCTCCGCGGAGGTCGGGTCACCGCGCGGCAGGTACCGCTCCGAGTGTACCTAACCTCGACGGCACTCGACCTATTCGCTCTACCTACCCATTCCGCAGGAATCGTAACCTGAAATTCTCTTTCGAAAATCGCGATTTTACAAATCTCTTTAGCAAATCCCTCGTAAATACCCGGGGAACCTATTTCACCGTCGACTTTTTATCCCGGCGGTGTCCCGGTCGCCTTTCTCGAGCCCACGGCGCGGAATCCGCGGAATGGCCGCTCGTGCGTTCCCGGGAACGGACGGGCGCCTTCTCTGGGTCACTGACATCGACCGAACTTCTCGGTTCCCCCGCCGGAGGCCCTCCTCGGGAATTATACAACCCCGGTTCTCTTCGGGAAAGGTCTCGCGGACTCTCGCGTTGCGTAGCCGCGTCCGCGGTTACGTCTTAAGGACGCCGCGTTTCGGAGAACGCGTTTCACCCGCGGCCGCCGGCGCTCGTTTCTCCCCGCACGCGGACAACCTTCAAAGGCCGCAGAATGCGCCGATGAATGAAGTAGGAAAGTTACGGAGTTAGCGACCGGATGTGTACGTGTGTATACGCGCGGACGCGCACACCCAGAAGGCGCGGCTGCGCGCGCCGAGAAAAACGAGAGACCGCCGTGGGGCCCACCTCACCCTCGGCCACGAGGCTGAACCAGTTTCTGCGCGGCTTTGCCTTTTGCCCGGCTAATTATTCCTGATCGGCACATGGGCGCCGACTTTTCGACTCCGGCGATCCGACTTCTATGAACGACGCTGTACTCGTACCCGCGACGATAGTTACTTAAAAAAAAAATTATACTTTATGACACTTAACTGCGCCGAAAAAAAAAATTGGTCGACGCAAAGAGATATGCACCGCCACAACAAAATCCTGCGATACGCCCAAAGAAATTGTAAGAGCGCGTACTTAGGTTTATTAAGTTGCACAGTAATTAAGGTGATCAGCTGGGCGAGCGAACTCGCTTCGACGTTACGTTTCACCCAGTTTCCGATGATTCACGTATCCATGACTGTGACGAATTTATCTCGGTCTCTTCATTAAGCCGGGCTCGGATCGACCATTAGGAAATTAGAATGAGGAAAATTGGCGGTCGCTTAAAATATGGCTCGCAGGTGCAGTTGGCCGTCCTATATCCCGAGGCGCCCTTCCTTTCTAAACCAAACACGGATAGAGAAGGTGCATGGACATTTTCTTTAACCGGACACACTCGGTTCGATAACCATGACTCACGTGCCCGCGAATGGCATCCGATCGGCCATTTGCATTGCACCTTGGCGCCGAAGAGGGCAGAAATTGAAAATTCCTCCCAGAAAAGAGAAATTAACCTATCTTGTACAGGACGAATGTACAGAGAACCGCGCGGGGTGTGTTCAAACGATTCGATAAAAATTCTATTATCCGCAGGATATTTTTTTTTTTTCTTCTCAAACATGGAATGTCTAGGTGCGACTTTTCGAGGGTGGGTTCTTTCCAGAAAATTTTCACGGTCCCAAGTTTCTCCTTCTTTGTGGGAGTCCTTTGTCTCCCTCCGTTCCCGATCCTCGGGCGTAAAGTTCGAGGTCGTCGGCCGGCGAACCGTGAGAACTTTTCGCCATGGCGAAGAGTGTTCAATATTTCAGGGTAACTCGTGACACTGAGCACGGCCAGCTTTTCTTACCGTCATTCATGATACGATGGCACGGCAATAGGATGATTGCCTGACGGCCAGTGACTAAAGTGGATAAAGTCTTTTATAGTAATTTAACTCGAGCACGGTCCAGGGGGGTGCAGAGAATCGGGCCCCCGGACGGTGTCCCTTTCTGCCATTTTCTCTAATTTTCTTATTCACACTTACGGCCGATCAATTTTCGTGCAACAAAGTACCGAGCGAAATGCCTCGACTTCGCCTCGGGGCTGAGGTTTCGATTTTTAACGCCTAGGTGTTACTTAACTTCGTTGGACTTCATTTTTGTAGAGACCGGAGAGTTAAGGCCTGCTCTGAGATGTCGATTTTTTAGGGATTGCCATTGATAACAAGTAGTGGCCGTGATAACGGCGGTTACTCAATGGAGCTGCGAATCGATATTCATTGCGTAGATCCGGTTGCGGCTCGACACGAGTTATTATTGCCTGCGCTGGGCATTCTGGTCTATTATAAATCGTCCTTCTACTTAATGTGAGGTTAACCGCGACCAACAATCAGGAAAATAATTTCTGCGTTAACACTCTGCACCCAAACAATTAGATTACTGCTCCAACTCGAGTACACGCCCTGCAAGGATCTCGTTAAGACCTTCTCTCAAGAGCCACTTCTCTTACAATTTTATAAATAAATTCCCCCCTCTAATATCCACCTTCTAAGCTTCCCTGTAAATAATCGGCGCTCTTAAGTTTCCTCTGAATTAAAAAAAAAAAAAATCGAAATCTCCTGGGTGTCAGGACTTTTTTTGCAGCCTCGATATTCACGTTGTTAAGTTAGAAACTAATCGATTTAACCAGTTAGGAGAAAAGTCTCACAAACGAGACTTTTTGGGGGGGTATTTTATGAAAATTTTCTACTCCAGTACCGAAAACGGGGGTGCCCGATTTTTATCAAACGTGCGACGTCCCTGAGACGCTCCTCGCTAACGTACTGACAAATGTACGTACTCTGGCCACGGGCTGACCCTCTCGGACTTGCATCGGTCAGTTGTCGTTCCATCGAGGTTTTGCCAGGTCGCAGGCTCCGATGCCCCCGACTCAGTGACTCGAGAAAAAAAAAAGAAAAAAAAAACCCCGGAAGACGAATCATCGTCAAGTGACCGCGTGGATGCCACGAGTGACACCTTAACCCCGTACCTTAATTTCCGGCGCGATATTATGATTAGGTGAGTTCGATCCTTTCGAGCAATTATTTAGACTAAGCAGAGGATGGATAGACTAAGACTAAATCTTTTTGCCGATGTTAATATTATGACGCGATATTTATTATGCTCAAATATTTCCGAAGAAAGTGTTTAAACGCATTCTCTGCTAAAAGTGGTTACAATTGTAATCGATTTCCTCTACCCTTGTCTCGCTCGATCAAAGGCAGCTGGATCCAGTTATGGGCAAATTATTTCATCGACTTCCAGCATCCTGGGTCCTTTCGGCGATGATGAATATTTTTTCTCCCCTTCTCGTAAGACCCTCGTCCTTGCTTCGCGGATTTACGGCGTCTTGAGAGCGATTAGTCTCCTGTTCTTATTTTTTTTTTTCTTCATTCTGATGGAAAAGCGTGCTTTCGCGGGAATCGCAATTAACTCCAGTTTCATTTCCCGGTTTCTGGGGAGAAGCTGCGAAGTCGTTTCTTCTGCTTCCTCGCAGCCTTCGACTCGTTTTTCATCTCGTGACTGTCCTCACGTAATACGCACCTCGGCGCGATCTTTGGTCCAGATGACCGGCTCCTCCCTCTTCCTGGAAACCACCTCGTCGCGGGCGAACTCAGAACTAGTTGCCGGTTATTATTGGCAAACAGGGTGGTGGCATTTTTATTGTTCGAAGATCGCGTCCTGGTTGTCCTTAGCGGATGCAAATGCATGCAAACTCGGGGCAAGAGCTGCGAATCGGCCGAGTTGCTCTCGGTGGAGCCGAAGCGCAGTTTGCAGAAATTCTGAGACCTTAGATAGCATTGTCTAAACGAGTGTATTAATTCTGGGGTCCTTAGTAGCATTCGATGCGCAATTTTTGGAGCCATCGATATCCTTCGTTGCGGCATTTCTGGACCTCTAACAGCCTCCAGGAGATCGCGGCTCGTTCGATCTCCGTCATCCTAATGACGTTATCGATACAGCTACGCTTCAGGAAACGTCCTGTTATTTCGACCTCATTTTTTATCCTCTCCCAGCCTAGAAAACTCGTTGATCGATGCTGCCATGGATTCAAGGCGGCATACCGTAACAATTCCTCGCTTATCGTCGCGTCGGTTTCTCCGCGGTGCGAATCTTGCAGAA